ACAGTAAATTCCGTTTTTATGACTGGATTCCGCGATTCTCTCCATGTTTTCAGCATCGCGGAAATCATAGCGCCCTACTAATGTAGCAAACGAATATGATAAGCTCATTGTAAGAGTAAAAGACGGGGACATTGTTGTTTATTTACTTAGCATTGAGTCTCTCCAACTAGGTGACAACGTAGCGTTAAATCACCATTCAACAGACTCAAGCCACCACCGCACTGCCGTCTATTGGACTGCAGAAAGATACTTAACTTTTCAATCTGCTACGTTACTGACTGTACCGACAAACTATGCTTGACACCGTGTCAAGAATGCGACAAAGCGATTGAAAATCATTTGAACTTAGTGCCAGCACGTCATAAATGGAACGAGGCATCAGTTTACTGCATCCAGTGTAGACAACATCACTGATTATTATTATTATAATGGGTTCTATTCTACACTGGACACGAGCGGCGTGGCAAAATACAATAGCAATTCTCGCGAATAGTCGCGATGTGATTTGACCGATGTGATAAGCATGAGTTCTGGGCCGCGGTGCGGCCGGTATAAACACCAGCATTGACGGAGTGGCCGCGATCAGCTCTGATGGCCATAACACAGGCTTCAATGCGCCGCCGACGTGTGCCGTGATGCGCTGATCAGCTCTAGTCTCTAACATCACTGAATCTGCTGTTAAAAATTAACCATCCATTCATCATATCATTATGCAAAACTAAGAATTAGAATCATTGTAATGTGACGATCAAATATAGGTGCGGGTGGGTGGTGGGCGGATAATTTGAAGCAGTGGACTCCGGTGAAGTTTGAGCTAATCTGCGCATCTCTACACTACACTGATCTGGGTGGCCAGTAGCAAACAATGGAGTGCGCTCTGCTGGATAAACTAAGTAATTACACTATTCAGAAGCATTTAATCTGCGTTATATGCCCCCAAAAAATTAATATCGGCGGCATATCAGCATATTCGCCAATACCGATATATCTGCGACAGGCTCATATCGGACGATAATATCGACAAAACAATATATCGGTCGGGCTTTAATCATTTCCATCTGTGTCTGTCATTGGAGGCTATATTTCTGTGGAGGGCACTATGTGGCAAATGCCAGTTTTGTTCTTTGGAGCTGAGAGGCCAATTGGTCAAAGTTGCCTGCATCCTCTCACATGTGATTGACAGGTTGAGAGCTCTCACCCTGTAATGGTCTCCTCCCCAAAGCATGCTGGATTTAATGGCTTCTCTAACGACACTACTTTTCTCCACTCATGGGCCTCTGACACCTTTACGCATGAGCACGTCTCTGACCAAACCACCACCATCCGTCTCTGTGTAGTGGAGGGAAAAAGATTTAGCGGACCATTGCAATTATGACTCGATAAGAATCTCTGTCCCTGGTGCCGATTTGACTAATAATGATGTTTTCATTAAGATTTCATAATTCAGCACGTTTACTATCTCGCACACAGCCTGTAACCTCACCCCTCCTTTCTGTCGGATTCTCCATTATAGAGGAGATTAAGTACCTTTGCCCCCTTGAGGATTTTCATTAAAAATCTATACAGATAAGGTTTGTTTTGAAAAGAGTGCTGCAGTGAGACAGAAACTGTGAGAAATGTGCTTCTGTGCTCAGGTTTTTGTTCACAGTAGTCTGTGCGATAGTTCTTTATTATAGGCTGGAAACTTTATAAACGAGGAAGTTTAAAAACAAATACAAAGGAATGAATAAATGGTAGCTATTCGGTATTTTAATCTCATTTGGATTTTCTGCAAGGCCGGTATTGAATCCCACATACTGTATACTATGTGTACTGTCTTCTAATTATCCTTAACTAAAATATTGACATGTTGAAAAATGTATTCAATTAATGAACACATAGCTTGTGGAAGCAGATCACTTCATTCTGTTGGCCAAATGTCTGGCAATGAGATTTCTCTTTCTGTCTCTTTATGTATATTAGAGCTTAGAAAAATAGGACTGTTTGGTGGGTCTTAGATATGGACTGTTAAAAATAATTAATGCTGTCAATGCAGCCACAAGTTATAAGATTGATCATGTTTTGTTAAATAATAAACAAAACCATAGTCTGATAATTTGAACTTTAGCCTATTAAGTGTTAAAATGTATTTAAAATATAAGGTTAAATGGATGTAATCTACAAAAATATTAAGCAGCAACACAGATAATAATAAGAAATGTTTCTTGAGTACCAAATCAGCGTACTAGAATGATTTCTGAAGGATCATGTGACACTAAAGACTGGAGTAATGGCTACTGAAAATTCAGCTTTGCCATCACAGGAATAAATTACACTTTAAAATATGTTAAAATAGAACAGTTGTTTTGCTAACACTTTACAATAAGGTTCCATTTGTTAACATTAGTTAACTAAATTAGTTAACATGAACGAACATTCTTCAAAAGCATTTATTAATTTTAGTTAATGCTAATTTCAACATTTTCTAATACATTATTGAAATCAAAAGTTGACTATTAATGTTATTAACTGGACCTGAGCTAACATGAACTAACGATGAATAGCTGTATTTTCTTTAACTAAAATTAACAGATTAATAAATACTGTAACAAATGTATTGCTCATTGTTAGTTAATGTTAGTTCATGCGTTAAATATAGTTAACAAATGTAACCTTATTGTAAAGTGTTACTGTTATTTTAAATTGTAATAATATTTCACAATATTACTGTTTTTGCTGTATTTGATCAAATAAATGCTGCCTTGGTGTGTGAAACGTATTCGAAAAAAAAAAAAAAAAACATTTTTAAAAAAAATCTTACTGACCCAAAACTCATGAAAGTGTTCTTCATTTATTTTGATTCTAGAATTTTTTTTATTTATTTATACAGCCACCCCTAATGTATCATCTTCCACTTTGCTCAGTGTGTGATCCCACATCATATCAGCATGGGAAGGTGACTCTTATTAAGTATTCAGAGCTTAAGATGATTGTGCAGGGTAACATCTGGCAGTAATGTGGAAGTGTCTTTAGTAAAAACAATACTCTGTTTAATTAATAATTGATCAGTACTCTCTCTAGGCTCTTTAACGGTGTGGCAGGATCTCAGGGATGCGGTTACCACGCCAAGTCAGTCAGGAGTAGGGAGAAAAGGTGTCGGCTGCTAATATTATTTATACTACATTTATATTCAATTGTGAATGTCATGAACACTAAGGGGACTAACAATGTAGAGTGGGTCTGAATTTTATGAGAAGACCTGTGAAGACCTGTTTTGTTGAACGATGCTAGGGTACTCCTTGACCCTCTTTGGCACGGTCCAGTAATCTCCACAGGCTAAACATTAAGCTCTCTTTATTTTTCCTGTACAGTCTAGCCAAATATTAATGGATTGAAAGTCTCTTCAGCAGTGTGGGATTTGCACTACGAGTAGCCAAGTATATCTAAATGCCAGTTTTTGACCCATGGATGATACACCACCCTCTCCTGCTGGTCAAAACTCTTTCCCACTATCCATCCAGTCATCTTTCATTAATCTGTTTCTTTCAGCCTTGTAATGAGCGATACAATCTGAATCGTCTCTCTGACTGCACAGAAGTAGTGGATTTTTGTTTTTGGTGTTCACCAGCTGCATCAGGGTCCCATGTGTTTCCAATATGTTCCACCGTCAGTCAGTTTGCTCCGTTCTTAACCATGAGTTTATTACCATGTGAAGTGTATCACAGCTGAGCACCAGCACCAGCCCTGATGAGAAAATCTGCTCTGCAACCCTGCAGTCCGCTCAGGCTCCCTTAGTCCAGTGAAAAACAGGTCAAGATGTCTTTACCCGGTCAGTTAAAACACATGCTACATCCACTAATGCTGATCGCTGAGGTGGAGCATAGACTTGGACGTGTGAGTGTTTTGTCAACATTTAGCCAGAGAATATATCGATCCCATGGTGGCCCAAGTGAAGCACTGATAAATCAATGATGCCATTAGTGCTGAGGCCCTTCTCTGGCTGCCTGATGTAAATGATGTCCAGTGTTGGTTTTGAGGAACTTTCCATTAGATATGTGTATTTTTGCCGCCTCTGAGCCACATCAGCATAGCTTGGTGATTAATGGCCTGGGGACCACAGGGACCAGGAGTGAACTTATTTCCATAAGTGTGGATGCAGTAGATAATCTACTCTGAATTACAATGACCAATGGGATCTTGGCATGCAATCACTAAAACTACATTTTAAGTTAACTTGATATAAAATTGCTGTTATCAAAGTTTCTCCTCATAATCTTTCATCTTCCACCTCTGAAATCTTTCATCTTCCACCTCTGAAAACTTTCTTGTTCAGCTGATGTCACCAAAAATTTTTTTCAACTCCTCCCCATTAACCACCAGTCATATAGAGACCGTTTTTCTTGATCCAATCAAAACCTCATGGATAAAATTCAAGTCCCACCCTACATTTTTTTCTTGCATAATAACATGTTTCACTGTGAAATATGTACTGCAGTAAAATGGGTAGCATCCCATTTTATTGACTTTATAGGATGTTATTAGGAACTATGCTTTGTGTTCTATTTTACTGTATTTTTAAATAGAGGTGTATGAAATGCATTGTCTACAATAATATCAGAATTGTTGTTTTAATGATGTTAGTATTATTTATGCAGTATATATGCATTCATCCCACCTCTGAGTCGCATTAAACAGTCTGCGGAAATAAATCTAAATGCCACTTCAGATGCAGCATCTGTATCATCTCTGGATGATCTCATGGATCAGGCATATTGTCATAGTTTGAGGAGTTTAACCAATATTGATGTTGATGGATTGGAGGGCACTGCAACTTTTGTGATTATGACTCATATGATTGCTGCCCACACTTGGCTATGTGTCATCTTGTCTCATTTTGTGTCATCTGGCCTGACCTTAATTGCACTCCTTCAGTGGTCAATCTCAGGAAACTTTCAGAGCTCGTATATTTGGGTATGTTTAGTTTCAGGAAGTTCTAACCCCATTTTTTTCCTCTCTTATAGCACGAGAAGAGAACGTGGCCACTTTCCGAGGTTCTGAGTACTTCTGCTACGACTTGTCTCAGAATCCCATCCAGAGCAGCAGCGATGAGATCACATTGTCCTTCAAGACCTGGCAAAGAAATGGCCTTATCCTACACACCGGCAAGTCAGCAGACTATGTCAACCTGGCCCTGAAAGATGGGGCCGTTTCATTGGTCATCAACTTGGGTTCCGGAGCCTTCGAGGCCATTGTCGAGCCTGTCAATGGCAAGTTCAACGACAACGCCTGGCATGACGTGAAGGTCACACGCAACCTCAGACAGGTAATGCTAAAGCGGTTGTAATTTTATGTTTTCTGATCTAATTCAGAGCTAAATGCTATTGTATATTGTTTAAATTAGCATTTTCGGTTATTTTAAGTTCTTTGAGATGCTAACGCAACTATTTCTTCTCTGAGTTCTTCTACACTGCCTCATGTTTTGCCTCCTCAGGCATTTACCTCTGTCTGAAGCTATCAGCAGTGCGATGGCTTCAAGAGGCTGTCTCTCTCACCCCTCTAGATGTTCACCTCACTTCTCCAAATAGTCTGTCTTATCAGGGCAGCGGGGAGAGGCTCCAACCAACCTCAACCGTTCCATTTACCCACAGCCAATCTTTGTTGAACTGTTAAATCACTCCGCCGCTGCATTTTAAAATATGTAAATATTTAGGCTGGTTTTGCCCCTCAGGAGTGAAAGGATGTCGCTTTTTGCGCAGGCGTGTGTAGAGGCGTGAGTGCCCACAAGCACTAGCTATTTCAGCTCTGATCCACTAGGACTGTGAAATTTTTTTCACTTTGTTTAATAGTTGTTTTACTATCACGCCAAGAACATGCATTAGAATTACCTAATGCAATTGCCCGAGGAAAGTCAAAAACCAAATGAATCACAACAAAGAGGCAGCTAGATAGAGGTCAGAATTCACGGTTGTAGCAGAAAACAACACGTTCTGAAACATTACGTTAGAAAGGACCTAAAAATCAAAGCTAAATGTGTTTTGACAGAAAAAAATTGAATTATTGGTGAAAAATATATTCTGGAAGTGAGTCTGCACTTTAAGATCTTGCCAACAAGAGCAATGCCTTTACAAAAGTGAAATGCCACAGGCTCTGTGGAGAATCTGCGGTTTCTTTTTCTTTTCCACCTTTTCTTACTCTCACTCATATGCTTTGCTTGTCTGTGGATGACATTTATTCAGACCCAGACTAACCACTCATGAACCATTGACTAGAGTCTTTAATTTACTAACCAGAACCTAAACTAATGTGCTACTCATCATGACTTCATTTCAGTTTATTTCATTTTATTAACAACCCTTTTGTTCATTGTTTAATTTCCTTTCTTCCCCCTTTTCTCAAAGCATTCAGGTATTGGACACGCTATGGTAAACAAACTACATTGTCTGGTAGATATCATTCTTATTGTCCTTTTTTGGGTTTACCATGTGTTTTCCTGGCCCTCTTTCTTTCTCTTTTTTGGGGTTTCATGGCTTCATAAAAAAATAAACAGACTGGGGTTTGTATTTCGGGGATTTCTTCCTTTTTTATTTCAAATGTCCTCATCCCATTTTTCACCACAGCTTTACTGACATTTTCTATCTTTCTTTCTTTGAACTTCCTCTTTGGCCCTTTTTTAGTTTTTGAAGGCTTCATCTGTTTAAGAAGCCCTTTTTTTCTTTTCTTTTAAATTTTAAATTTTTTAAATCAAATACTGTCAAAAACTGGCAGAAGCTTTCCAAAACAAAAAAGCGATGAAAACAATAGTATGAAAATAAAAGAATAAAAAACTATTTCAGCACTGGAGCTCTGACAGTTGATTCCAGTTGTTTGCACATGCCGCGCCGACCCATTCATGCTGGATCAGCCCTTGTGTTACTAACACCAAAAAAATTGTCTGAGCAACCCACCATCTGCCAAGTATCCTGTCCTGTCTGTACTGTGGTGTAGGTCATGACTGCCTGTGTCCTCCCTCATTACCCCTCATACTGTAGCTTTTGCTTTGGTCTCATATGTGCTGTTTCCTCTTGCATGTTGTCTTGGCTTGAAGAAGATGCATGATTCCATGTTTGCAGTGGTTGTATGTCACTATTAACGTTTTATCAGAAAAAGACCATCTGTGTTGCATGCTCATTTGTGGTAGTATTAGCTCATTTTGGATGCATGCATCCAAACCAACTCAACTAACCCAGTGTGCACAGAATTTGAACTAAAAACAAGCAATTTGTCTATAGTTTGTTACATAACATTAACCCCTCAAACTAACGTCCCAAACCAGAAAACCATTTCTAACACCATCAAAGATAAAGAAAATATACCGGAAAAATATTTTCTTTACCTGTCCTTTGTAAGCCTATGAATACTAGACAAGAATGGCCTACTAAAAGTCTTGAAGTGCAGGTCTTTGGTACACAATCAAAGACTGTCAACAAACCAGCAAGATCGAAGCTAACCTATTCCTGGTCGAGCGGCCGTCACAGCCATGATGTTCATGAATGGATTTTCCCCTCTCCTTTTGTCATTCCTCTCAATCAGGTGACAATATCCGTGGACGGCATCCTGACCACAACAGGCTATACACAGGAGGACTACACAATGCTGGGATCAGATGATTTCTTCTACGTCGGAGGAAGTCCAAGCACAGCAGACTTACCTGGGTCTCCTGTCAGCAACAACTTTATGGGTTGCCTGAAAGAGGTAGGTGGTCTGGACGAACCTCACTCTTTCAACGACATGCATCATATCACCATGTCCTTGTCTGGAATGAGAGGGAACAAGTTTGAATAGACCGTCCGAGCAGAATAATAGATTCAGTACAGCTTATCTTGTGAAAAGGATAGAGCAGACATCGTAACCCGTGGTGTGTTTCTCTAATGAAATTCGCTTTTTGCCCAGATGCGAAATTGTTTCAGGCGTATTTAATTGGACCTTTCAGTTGTGGTGAATCATTTGATTAAGGTTCCACAGGCCAGAGAAGAAGCTAGGGTGATTGGATGAGATGAGACTTTGCATAATGATATGCAGCATTCTCAAAAAGGGAACCCCAAAGAGATTCTGCTGAACAGTTGGACATGAAGACATCTGTAAATGTAAAATTAAAATGTCACATTTCACCACTTAATTTAAAAAAATAATAAAGAAAATAAATCCTATTTGTAGGGCCATTCTTTTTTATTTATTTTTATTGTTATTTATTTATCTATTGTTATTTGTAATTTAGTTATAATAAATTAAAAACCTAATTTAAGGAAGGTTTTCATCAAAAGACAAAAAAGAATTGACTGTGGTAAATGTAATATAAATGCAGTAATGATATTGAAAAACCTTTTCATGAAAATTGTCACAATGCAAGCCATCTTAGTCCTAAAAAAAGTTTCAAAAAGTTTTTTTTTTCTTTGATTTTTGAGGTGAAATATGATCCAGACAGGTTTTGTTTTTGCTTTCAATTCACCCTCTAAGAGCCATTATACTGTTTGCAGAAGTTAGACGTCATTCTCTTCGATCAGCTGTTCATTTCCACATTCCTCCGTTGTCAAGTCTGGATAACATTATCAGTAAATGGACTGATCTTTAATTTAGCTGGAAATAGGCAATTACTCTGTTTTTACGGCTGCTGGCGAGATCCTCCATTAATTCATGCTGAACAAACAGCAGACAACAGAACCTCCTTTTTCGCAGTGAGTGCTACAGCAGCCTGCTATCTTTTAATGACCCACCATCAAGCTATCACTGCCGTTTCCATCTCAGACCGGCCCTCCTATCGCAGGGCTAAAAACCTGCAACAACTGCGTTTGCGTAAAAAACTAATTTCATTCCCTCTTCACTGTGCTGAGTTTTGAAAAAACTGCCACCCATGTCAGAGATTACAGTAATCAGTCTCATGTGTGCTGCGATATAGCGAACGCTTACATAACACTGCTTTGCTAGATAGGTGAACTGGATGCTAAGAGCTGCTCAAGACGAGATAGCAGGACTTATACATCCTTCACCCACCCAAGAGTGGCCATAATGATAGATACCTCCTCCTCACACTCTTTCTCATAGTCTGAGCCCAAGGATGAAAAGTAATTTTATACGCCTCTCAGCTTTTAAAACCTCACATTTGATGTGGAAGCTGAAAATTATGTAGTTGTTATGGATCACGTGTGGCCGCTCAGACACATGGGGTTTGTAATATGGCATGAGACTATCAACGATCTGGTCAGGATGACATGACCTCAAGACTGCCATATTGCATTTTTAGCTGGGTTCAATTCAACCTAAAATGTCCAGACTTTGTTGTGTTTGCAATTACTATGTTCACAGTAGCTTACTAATGCTGTGCTCTTACTTTTTGTGAAGTAAAAATGACATTTTTGTCACTGAAATGTGTAATGCATTCATCTGTTGTTGTTTTTTCTGATATAGTTATTGTATATTCTACTCCTTTTAATTATAAGCCTAGTTATACATACATAGAACATGCAAAAAGAAAAAAAAAACTTTAAAAAACATTTTTCTTTCAGAAAAATCAAATTTTATAATTTGTTTTTATTATATTTATGATATTTATATTATTTATAATATTAATATTATTATATATTTAATATTTATTGTTTTATATTAATTTCCTTTTATTTTACTGTTATTCACTACACATTTTGCCTGCTCTGGGGTATTTTTGTTCTATTAAAGTCATGTGATAGTAACTATTATTAGAAGTAGACAGTGGTGTTGTAGAGTGTACCACCCTGTGGCACAAGATGCTTACTGCAGTCATGTTGTGGAAAGGGTAATGCACATACACATTTAACACTGCTTTTATCTATTTACTGTATATAGGACAGAGGATGCAAAAATTGGTTTTAATACATAAAATCACAAGAATATGCACTCAATTAATAATTTGTGTAAGACCACAGCTTTTTTCAAAATAAAAGGATGGATGACTGTTTTTTAGCTCAAATAACAATAACACAATAGCACAAATAACAACAAATTTCTTTCTCTTTCTTCAAATGAAGCAGAGTATTGTATAGATAGTTGCAGGCTTCCTCAGAGCTGCCTTGTGTCCGTCTTTCAAGCTGAGCGTGAAGGGCAGTAATCAGGGTATGGCAGGGCGTGTGGCTGCACAGGGGTCTGCCAGCACTAATGACTGAATACTGAGCAGCCTCCACTGCTGAGCTGGACTGTGGCTCCCTTCCTTTGTGCTCCGCCATCACAACCAGTTTCCAGGATGTGCGCATGGTGACTGTCATTTGTCACTTTGCTGGGCAGACTGGATGAAACTGTCCCTGCTCTCTGGACACTTGCTCCAGAGCCAGCACCGCTCTATGGATGTGAGAGTTCTGATAGATAGGTTGACCCAGCCTCTCTCCATCTCACACTCGCTCTCTCCCATCCTCTATCCAGCAGATTTGTTTCGGTAAGCACCGCAGGACTGTTAATATTTGGCAAAAGCTCAGAACTGGAATACTGGCTAGCCTGAAACAGCAGGAGTGGTCTTTGTCTTTTGTGTCAGTCATTTAGTGTTCAAATGAAAGGAATATGTAGGATATTTTAGAATATGTTGATGAAATAAAACAAAACATCAATTAAAGTCATGGTTCATCCAGAAATTGTCATCGTTTACTCACCCTCATGTCTGTGGAACATACATATTTTGAGCTGTGTTGTTGGGGGCGGGGGGGATCCTAAAAATTAGAAATGTTAAACTAACTGAAAACTTTTAAAACTTACAATTTAAAAATAGCCAATTCAAAATGTTAATAAATTCTACAATAGCATATAAATAATTAGTATAATAATATAAATAATATAGTATATAAATAATAGAAAAATAACAGATTTTAAGATTTATTTATTTCTATTTTATATTATTATTTAATAATAATTAAATTATATGGTCCATTATATGGAGGTCAATGGTAACCAAACCTGTTTAATTACCAAATTCTTCAAAATATCTTATTTTATTCACAAAAGAGGGCTTTATCGGTTTGGAATGACATGTAAATTATGACAAAAGTTTCACTTTTTTTCCCATCTCTTTAAGACGACTTTTTAGATAGTCTGTTTTAAATGGCTAGCAGCCATGAGCTGATAACAGATTTCCCCATAGGTCATGTGGCTAAGTTGTTTGTGAAAGTGAAGATGCTTCTCATGTTAGCATGCTAATTAGCATTAGCATTTGGTTCAAGACTGTTGAGCTTGTGAGGAAAATTACATTTTAATACAGTGTATGCAAATGAACTGTGGTCTAGCAGAGGTTTGAACAAAACAAAACTAACAATAATATAAGTTAAATAAGCTGCAAACCAGACCAGATGCCATTATGCCGATAGTCAAACGTTTGGCTGCGCAAGCCCTGACCTGTTATACCATGTCCAACCAGGCTATCTAGACCCTTCTGCACCTCATTGCCCCGAGCTCCCATGCAAAACATCCACAAAGGGCCACCTGGCATGCTTGACTAGTGAATATTCTATACTCATTTCCAAGTTTTTTCCAGTTTGACCTGGGGGCTATTAATTCCTTGAGAGTGGTGGGTAGGCACTGTAGGCAGAGATTTATAGTAGAAGCAGACAGCTGTGGATGATGAATGCAGGTGTCACTACAGGCCCAGCACAGGCAGAGAGAAGGCCGCAGGCATGGGGAGGACCCTGAGAATGTGCATAGCCGCTCTTCCAGTTCTCAGCTCAACAGCATGGGCACTACAACAGAACCTTAGCTTCAAATTCAAGCAAATATGCCTTTGCTTATCTCATGCTCATAGCAGTCAGTGAGAGTAGACGGACTTTCAGACTTTTAATCCACTGGAGATTTGTGGAAAGACATATTTTCAATATTTCATCAGCAGAATTGACACACAGGTGCACAATAATACAATATGTTGAATGGACTCTGCAGATGACATGAACTCTGTTCCAAAACCTAGTAAGCTGAGTTCATGCCTACTGTCTACTTAGTCAGCATCTTAACTTCACAAGTGAGCAGTTTGTATTGGTCAACATCTCTTCCAATTGATTTTAACTGAGTTTGCATTGCTAATCTAACAATGCAATTCTCAAATAAGCATAAATAATACAAAGAAATATGCAATTTTAATTATAATAATTTCACTGAATTAATCCTTGTGCTTCAAATTAAAATTTAACTGGCATTTTTTCAGCAGAAGCAGAAAACAGGGAAAAAGCGAGTATTTGCTCCATAGTCCGAACCTGAGAAAAACTGTCAGAAAATAGTAATAGTAAATAAATAAATAACGTTTGCAAAATGCACAAACAGTAAAATAAAATGAAAATAATTGTATCAATACTTTTCATTATTGAATGAAATATAACTATATTTATACTGTCATCTTATGTGTTTTTTTTAGAGGTCGGCCCATAGAACGGACCAAATTGCAGAGTATCAATTTGTGTCAGACACTAAGGCTGCCCCTGGTGTTGTGGACAATTTGCAAGATGAAACTTGATTTAGGTGATGAAAAATGCACCGACAGGATAAATAGAAATGATAATGTTACAAATAACAGCAATCATCGTCTAATCAATGTCTGGCAGTTTTCAGTCATGTTGAAGTCCTCAAGGTCATATTTGGACTATGAGATGCTTGCGAGGATTCTGTGTGTAGCATACGATCTCTTTCTCTCTTTCTCTTTCTCCATTCCCAGAATCCTCTGTTCAGAGATTATCTGATGTTCCAATGTGTTCTACTAAAATTCAGCTTTACCATCATATAAATAAATTACACATTTTAAAATATATTCAAATAGAAATTTTTTATTTTAAATTATAATATTTTTCAATATTACTATTTTTTACTGTATTTTTAGTAAAATAAATGCAGCTTTTGTGAGCATAAAAGTCTTCCTTCAAAAATATAAAAAAAAATCGTACTAGGGCTGCACAATTAATTGAATTTCTAATCGTGATTACAATTACAGATGCCACAATTACGTAATTGTTCAAAGCGGCAATTAATCGTTCAAAGTCCACTTGTGTTATTAGTGCTTAAGATGTGTTTTTTTCTTTCTACAGGTTATCTTAAAGGTTTTTCCATTGTTTTAATTTTTGTGTTAGTATAACATTATACCATGCATATTTTTACTTTTTTTATTATTATTTAAAGAAGAAACCAAGCAATGTACAGTTGACATTTAAGCCTTAATGCTATAGAAAAGCAATAAAAGTTTTTCTCTTTGAGTGTTTTCAGCTTGTTTATTTTCATATAAAAATATGGCATGCAGTTGCTTCAAACAATGGTATAAACATCATTCAATGTAAATTGTGATAATCGTAATTAATAATCGCAATTACAATTTCAACGGAATAATCGACAATTATGATTTTTGTCATAATCGTGCAGCCCTAAATCGTACTGACCCCAGACGTTTGAATGGTATAGTATTTATTTAAAAATATATATTTGATTTCTATATATTGTTTGTGTGTGTAAATCTCAAAATTTCCAGTTGATATAATATAGTTTATTTAAAAAAAAAACAGTCTATACATGCTCTTACCATCATGCTAGTCTTTCAGACATGGAATTCAATAATATAGTCTCCAGTTTCTAGACAACAGCTGCAATAAGTGCTTTAAATTTCTCTGATTCTGCAGCTGAAGTAATCTTTTCTTCATGATGTTAGAGTTTTAACAGAGCCAGTGTACGTCAATCTATCTGACAGCACCATGATGGTTTACAGAGAAGAAATACTGTTTTTGAAAGAACAATAAGAGACTGAAGCTAGCAGTTTTAGTCTTGTGGAGAAAAATAACTATGTTTGTATGAGATGTGAGGAACCAACGTATGGCTTTGTCTGAGAAATGGATCCCCCTCAGGGAGAATGGTATTTATGATCTATCAGATAAGAAACACAACAGAGGAGAAAAGCCTGGATATCTCTGTGGCTTTTTTGCAGAAACAGAACACAATCCTTCCATTCCGCTTTGCCCTTCCTGCACCTGAGAGGATGTTTGATTTACACCCCGCAATGTCCAGGATTAACTGTAATATCAGGGCTGGAGCGTTTGTGTCGATTGCTTGCACTCACAAACAGCGTGATGTTCTAAAAATTTACACCCCCCCCCCCTCCAAAAAAAGATCTGTGCAAACTGTAAAATATATTTGGAAACATGTGTATGCAAATAAAAAAAAAGTCTCTGCTGAGTTTTAGGAAATGTAAGGTCATAAAAAGTCTTATATTTTACTGCAACTGTAAAATGTGTTTAAGAGCATGTGTGCGAAAAAAAGAAAAGAAAAAAAATCCCCATGGAGTTTTATTAAATGTAAGGTCATAAAAAGGCTTGAATGTCTTAAATGATGTATCAATTGTCTTAATTATTATTTTAAAAGGTCTTAAATTTGGGGATGGAAAAAAGGAATCACTAAACAGCCTAATGTGATTATTTAGGCTATAATTTCATTAAATAAATATGAGCCCTGCACATTTAAAAGTAAAATCGTGGCGCTGTTGCATGTTCTACAGGCTCACCATTTCAGAATACTGCACATTTATACCAATAAATTGCTTATGATCTACTGTTGATGAATTATGACAGTATTAAATAAATTTTGTTTGCATGTTGCAGTATGTTTTCGATGGTTGTAAGAGTCCCAGAATCATCATTCATTTTATCTCCCTCATCTTTTTGAAAAGCTGCCAATAGTATAGGCATTTCAAAACAAAAGTCCGCTGTATTTCGGGCTTGTTTATAATTAAAAGTCCCGCATTATACATAAAGGTTATGTAATTGCATAATTATTAAATATAGTTTGATTCAGAAATATTTAAAAACTCATTCTAAAATGTTAAATCATTTTGCTTTTAAATATCTCTTTGTATTACTTGATCACAAAAAAAAACAAAAAACATTATTTGAATAAATTTTCGTTGCGCCCATAATATTTTATAAAGTGCTTCTAAATAATTCAATTTAAGAGCATGTGTGCCTTGGGGAAAAAAGTAAGCCTCAAGCTCTGATAAAACTAAGCACTTGCTCAGAGCACATGGCCGGGTGTCCACGTTCACACTGCAGGCAAATGTGGCCCAAATCTGATTTTTTTTGCTCACATGTGACTCAGATCTGTTTTTGTCATGACAGTGTGAACAGCACAAACCGCATGGAATCTGATCTTTTCAATTCTGATTTGTGCCACTTCCATATGTGGTACTAAATCCGATCCATGTCAGATGTTTTGCAGTGCGACCGCAGTGTGAATGGTCATGACTTTTACGTCACTCTAGATCGCCGTAAACATAATTCCGCGCTGACGGGAGACACTTCAAACATTTTACATACCCAAAGTTATCAAGACAGTAGCGAAAGGTAATAAGTGGAAGTGTGATGTGTCAGAACTCATGTGTGTTACAGTGACAACTCTACAAGCAAAACATGAGGGCTTGTATCATAAAAGTTTCAAAACTCTGCTTTCTTTTGTCATACCCTTGTCTTTATTTTTTCATATTGCCTGCACATAATTTCGCTGGCTTCTGCAGCAGATCACACTATAAATAAACGCATAATCGCTTACTTTATATCCTCCGTGTTTACTTCCGTATGACGGCGCGCTGGGCAAGTGTTGCCAAATCCACATTTTCCCTGCGGAATTGGGCTACTGTTTCCTCTGTTGCCGCGGGATGTTTTTCAACTTCGTGGGTTGACGCGACCCCACTAACGCGATGTTTACCTCCCTGAACATGATTGGGCTAGTTTTGGACTAGTTTTGAGAAAGAATTGGGCGGATTTTGTTGTGAAAATCTGGAAACCCTGTTCGTATCGTTCTTTTGCGCATTCGGGTCAGTTCAGAACCACCTGTTCACACTGGAAATCTGATATTGGCCACATTTAAAACAACAATGTGAACAGCTATACAAAAAAATCGGATCTGAGAAAAAAATCGGAATTGAGCACTTATAATTAAAAGTCCCGCATTATACATAAAGGTTATGTAATTGCATAATTATTAAATATAGTTTGATTCAGAAATATTTAAAAACTCATTCTAAAATGTTAAATCATTTTGCTTTTAAATATCTCTTTGTATTACTTGATCACAAAAAAAAACCAAAAACATTATTTGAATAAATTTTCATTGCGCCCATAATGTTTTTTAATGTGCTTCTAAATAATTCAATTTAAGAGCATGTGTGCCTTGGGGGAAAAAAGTAAGCCTCAAGCTCTGATAAAACTAAGCACTTGCTCAGAGCACATGGCCGGGTGTCCACGTTCACACTGCAGGCAAATGTGGCCCAAATCTGATTTTTAACAACAATGCAGCTATACAAAAAAATCGGATCTGAGAAAAAAATCGGAATTGAGCACTAAGGCTCGCAGTGTGAACGTAGCCTTAGTTTCAACTGACAGGCACTAGGACCCAGAGCACAATGTCAGATTTGGGAAGCAGGCAGGGGGCAGGACTTGCTTCTTCCGAGCTTTTGTGGTAGAAAGTGCCATTGCAGCTTTGTAAACCTATTACCATAGTTATCAAGAAAACCAGACCCACATGCTTGTGCCAGCACAGCCCGAGTCAATTACCATTGAGAGACAGTCATTTGCAGGCAGTGGCCTGGCCTATTGGTATTATCACAGGTCATATTTGAATAAAGTCACCTTTCCTGGACTCTCTATTCAGCATCCAGCATAAAAAAAATAATTTGCATATTCATATTTATTATTTTCGAAAGCCATATAAAGATATCCCATATATCATCATCATTCAGTGATTCTTTGCTTACATCCACACAGGTTGTTTACAAAAACAATGACATCCGGCTAGAACTCTCCCGGCTCGCCCGCATTGTGGATCCCAAAATGAAGATTCAGGGAGATGTGGTGTTCAAGTGCGAGAACGTGGCCACTCTGGACCCCATCTCATTCGAGACGCCCGAGTCCTACATCAGCCTACCCAAGTGGAACACCAAACGCATGGGCTCCATCTCCTTCGACTTCCGTACCACCGAACCAAACGGCCTTATTCTCTTCACCCACGGGAAGCCGCAGGAAAGAAAGGACGCCCGTAGCCAGAAGAAAACAAAAGTGGACTTTTTTGCAGTTGAGCTTCTGGATGGAAGCATGTACCTGCTGCTGGACATGGGCTCTGGGACTATCAAAGTGAAAGCCACACAGAACAAGGTGAACGACGGGGCCTGGTATCATGTGGACATCCAACGAGACGGGAGATCAGGTCAGTGTGTGGATTCTCAGACAAATACACTTACTTCTTTATTCCTATTACTATTAATGCTGAACACATTTAATAAATGCCTTAATTTTTTTTTTTTAATCCAGTATAATTTTTATTGTATATATTATTTATGTACTTTATCTATTTTATTTAATTAATTAATTAATTAATTAATTTTTTAAACTAGCGTTTGCACTATTCTGTGTTGCAGTAAAGCTATTATTGTTGGCACATTTGATAGCTTTTGATTTTTCTTATTTGTTTCTTTGTATAAATTTGAAGTTAAACGTCAATAGATATAGAAATTAGAAATATAATAATAATAATTATTGTTATTGTACTGTGTATATTTATATGTATATTTAAATACATATATATAAGAAATATTTGCATGTTAATATATATTCATATTTATATATGATTTATATTATACATAAATATAAATATTTATTACAAATATTTCTTAAATATATACATGTATGTGTGTATTTATTTATACAAATAAATAAACACAGTACACACACATATTATGTTAACACAAACTTTTATTTTCGATGTGATTAATCGATTTTATTATTATTATTTTTATTTATTCTTTTTTTTTTTATGGTAATTCATTGTTTATTTAGCTTGTTTGTTGCTTATGTTAACAGGTTACAGTATTAAAGTATAGTGTAGGAGAAATATAGGTACAATGAGTGTTTTTATGCAGAGCCTATTTTTTGCTCTGTGTACATTGCTGAATATTATATGGCTGTTAATAAAGGAAATATTCAATATATAGTAACCCAAAATCACTCCATAGTATTTATGGTAGAAAAACAATTTGTTAGGAACACAAAGCAAACCCACTATTGTGGTTGTGCTGTTGTTTCATTTGCCTTATGAAATAGACCTAAAGGTAGGAGACCTTTAGGTCTGGCCTTGTATATCTAAAATTACCTTGTAAATCTAATTTGCGAAAGAAATGACTAAACTTATAAATGAAATTCAAGAAAAAATATCTTTAAAATGGATTTCCATGTGGGAAATATGCTCTTAGAATTAAAGACATTACCCATAAATTGTATCTCATTTTAAAAACAATTTTTAACTGAGCACATGAAGAACTCCCACTTTGTTTCATTATTAAATCGGTCGGATGCTGTAATTGCTTGTGTGTTTTCCATAGGCGTTAAGCTCTGCAGCCAAATGATAACAGTTTTAAACACAAAGCACAGTGGTTAGTCACCAATAATGGACAGATTTAGTCCAAAGCAGGCTGACATTTTCATTTCATTTCACATCTACTTTGACATAACTTTCTATTAGGTTTTATCCCCTCTATCGTTCTCTGTATCCTCCTTCACCTCTTTCTTTCTTTCTTGGCCCTTGAATCGCTGGCACTCTGTTTCTGAATCGATCGACGACTACTCCATATCACTTCATAGCACAGGGCCCTTGGGAGGTCTTGTAAGATATCAGTAATGCGAGGTTTTAGACAGCCATGTGGGTGACTGGACCAGTGTCAGTTCTGAAGAGATTATTCCCATTGATCCCTGGTTCCCCACATGGGATGCATTGTTTACATCAGTGTGTCTGTATGAGGGACGCCGCTTTACAAGATTCACACACTCCCCATGAGGTCATAAATAGAAAATAATTATCTTGTAGCCCCCCTCTCCCTCAATCACATACTCTATGGATAGTCTTTCTATCCCTATCTTTGTCTCTTGTGGACAGGATAGACACACAACAGATTGTCTTAGTCTGAACCCTGCTGGATTACGCAGTGCAGTAATTTACAGTACTTTAGTTTACAGTTTATAGTCTCTTCACATTAAAAATCACATTATTTTTTCTCACCTTCACTAAAATTTTTATACAAAAAAAGCCGGGCCGGCCTTATCCTTCCCACTGAATTATGGACTGCCATGCTATACTACGGCTATGTGGGATGCATTCGGGACCTGTTCATTGACGGTCGCAGTAAGGACATCAGGCAAATCGCTGAGGCCCAGAACGGTGCAGGTATCAAACCTTCCTGCAACAAGATGCCAGGCAAACAGTGCGACAGCTATCCGTGCAAGAACAAAGGCGTGTGCAAAGAAGGATGGAATCGCTTTATCTGCGACTGCACAGGCACTGGTTACTGGTCTCGCACGTGTGAGAGGGGTGAGTTAGCTGCCTTTACCTTTACCTTTCCTTTATTAGTTCATAAAATCCTTAAAGCCCTGGCTTCCTAGAATAATTTTTTTGCTTTGTTTTAGAATAAACCCGAGAGGCAGGTTTAATTTCAATTGCAACATTTGACTAAAAAAAAGGACCGTTTACAATAACCGTCACACCAGTTTGTTTAGCTTCTCACCTGTAAAATCCCATCTGCTGCTGTTTGTAAACAGCGGATTAGCTCTCATATAATCAGTTAAACTATAAGCTCATTAATATCTCAGCACGTTGCTGTATGGAAGCTGATGTTCTCCGGGGTTTGGGGAGTGTTGCATCTGAGTCAAACCCCTGATGATGTCATACCTTGGAAAAAGTCCAGCCGCTCATAACGTACAGATCTTCAGATATCATAGGCAAAAAATAATAATATTCACATGAAAAATGAAGTGGAATGGTTTTGGTAGATGACAGGAGATGGCTGGGTTTTTGAGTGGTTGCGGATCTTATGCTTGAAGTCTGTTGTGGCTGCATGTTTGAAGGGCTCCATATGGGCCGGAACACAGGGGTTCCAGGTATCCAGGTAATAGAGGGACTTCCTGTGAACACTGAGCAAAGCAAATTGCTTATTATGTTGGCATGAGAGCTGGTTTCTCTGTTGGGCTTCATTCATTTGTGTGATATTACAAGAAACCATTGTTATGTTTTTATTTATTTATCGATTTATTTATTTTAATAAATAAATCTATATAGCTTATTTAGATAATCACATTTGTAGTAGAAGTAGATAAGAAGTAAATATGAGGTAGAACAGTAGTTCTCAAATGTTTTGAACCAAGTACTGCCAAAGTCGCTTTAAGACAAGATACAAAAGGGGATTCTTGCAGCGATGCCTTAGAATAATTATTTTGGGATTCCCAAAGAACCTTTCTGTGAATAATTTTTTAAATATTTTTTCTTAGTGTGAAGAATATTTTATAATATTTTTCCACTATAAAGAACCTTTTGTGCAATGGAAAGTTCCATGGGTGTTAAAGGTTCTTTATGGAACCGACAATAGCATTAAAGAACCTGTATTTTTAAGGTGTAGTCTGCTGTTTACAGTAACTGTTTGTCTGGATAACGTTTCAATAACATCTCAAATCGCCAGTAAAATTTGACAACAGTAATATTACAAATGTAGCTTCTTTAACCCTTCTTATTTATTTTTAAAAACTAGCTTCTATGCTCTGTACTGTAATAGAGCTAATATTTTTGGCATCTTTATGATAAACTGCTTGTGATTTTTGACATCTGGGGCCTTGGGGTAAAAATGCCTGATAAACAAATAATTGAATGCAAATAGATGAGAAATTAAAATTAAAAGAACAATAATAATAATTATAAAATAATTTTTTTTTTAGACTTTAGGCTCATGTTCCCTATAAAGAACAAAAATTAGTTTCAAGTAGGGTTGGGTATGAGATTTTTCGATACCGGTGCCAAATCGATACTTTTAAAACGGGTCCAGTGCCTAAACGGTGCCTTAACCAATACTTATTAAAAATGAAATAAATAAATAAAAATTCCCCAAAAAATTATGGATTGGCCATTAGCACTATAAACACATGATGTCTGTTTCATTCATACTGGACGCCAGAGGGTGCCCTTGCACAGAAAATCCACATATCCAGTCACAGAAGTAGCATTTCCCGAGTTGTGCTTTTAAGTCGGAATGTGAAAACAACGTGGACACTCTCGTTACTACAAAGATTTGTTGGATTTGTATTAGAGCTTTCCGACTTGAGTTCACATGCAGTTTCTCAGTCGGGAAATTATTTTTCACGTGCGGTGCCGGTGATGATGCTTCTTACATCCATTTCGGAGAACCAGAGGACAAATATTTCAATCGATCGCTCAGGCATGGCACCGAAATGAGGCACCAAAATCTGCGTTCTGATTAGGTTCTAGTAAATACCGGTTACATAGGTACCAGTGCCATATTGGTACCGGGTTTCGGTACCCAACCCTAGTCTCAAGAGGATACAAAGGGTCAGACGTAGCAAACATTGACATGCATTGTTTTGTTTTTGTACTGTCAGAGAACGTCATGATATCTTTTTCTGTCCTTGTGCAGTGTTTTTAGACAAATGTAAAAGTCATATACAGCTGTTTAACACTCCATTGCCTGAGATACAGATTGTAAAAATCAACCTCCTGCACGTTCATTTGCCGTGAATGTCAGTCATCATCATCTTCAAGGGCATCAGATTGAGTGTCACCTAGTGTTATAGCGAGTTTGTGAGAAGAGCGAGCATGAGAAGTATTCTGATACTGACTAGAGATGTGTCTAAACGTTGTCATTTGACTGCACTTATGCCACAAGGCAAAATATGCAGCTTTCAAAGTGTCAGTCACCCACACACACATGCACATCTTTGTGCACCTGGACTGCACATTTGCATGGCTCATGTCTGAACTAATAACCAAACACTGAAATGACTAGACAGCCCTAACACTTAAAAGAGCACATTATAATTATTAGTGATGCTTGCTAAGGTGCTTAGCTAGAACACACAGAAGAAATTCCTAGTAAAGTCTATGCACCTTGACTCAACCAGCTCTTGACTTTCTAGTGTGCAGAATGCATCACACAGCCAGTAAACAGACCTTGTGTCTTTGGGTACACCAGCTGAGACTTTATGACGAGAGTCAGATGTCCAATAGTTCTGCTAAACTACACAGTCAAGTTCTGTTTTTTTTTTTTAGTGTCATAATTCTAAACCCACACTCTGTCAAGAGTGCACACTCGACTACCTGATATTTGTCCAGATCTATTATCTGCCCCACAGAAGCCTGTAGCTGCTGCTCAGGACAGACAACTGACTGTTGTCACACACCACACTCTCCTCCTGTCAGTACATATACACTTCAGATTTTCTCTAATCCACACTCAGCATTTCACCCCTGACAAAAACCTCTTTTTTTTCCAGATTGTGGAAATGTGACTGTGTGCTTGGAAACTTTAGGCCTGGAAGAGCAACCGTTGATTCATTGGCTGTAGAAATTCAAAACATTTAATACAGGGGTCATATAATGAGAAATTATTTTATTTTTTATTTTTAAATAGTAAAATACAAATAAAGTGTTGTTCTGTTTAAAAGTTAAAATATTTTTTTTATTACTATAAAAAAATATTTAAAATGATTTCTCATGATATGACCTCTTCATTAAATGTTTTGCATTTCTACAAGCCGATCAGTATTATAAAATCCTATGTATATTCTTTCAGACGCTCTATACTCTAACATCTAACCATGTTATATCACATTTTATGTTATACAAAAGACGCGAGTCTTTTATATATGTATAAAAATTAACATGAATATGCATTGGCATGAATTTTTGTTTGAACGTTTGATTGGCATGAATTATCTTCTAAACAAAGAAAACTTCCCTCACAGAACAGCCTGCTGGAATATAAAACAAACGCAAGCTGGAGAGTCTAAAATATCTGAATCCCGTTTTTAAGAGTTATTAAATCCATTATGCAGCTTGGATCTCTCAAGTCATTTCATATCTTATTCTCAAAATTACACACAAGACCATTGCATATGAGTTCAGAAAACTACACTTTTGTGGAGTGAAAGAGATAAAAACAAAAAAGTGCTTTATTCTTTATCGATCCAGAATTCTAATTTAACACTGGGCAGTTTTATTGTACAGTGTATATTACAATATTGCTCTTTTTTTTTTTTTTTTGTTGGTATATTGGTATGTAACTCATTGACTATAACAATGACTACAGTATATTCACAATATAGCACAGTCCCATGTACTAATTATTATTTATAGTTTATTATTTTGCATAATAAAAATTTAATGAAAACCTTTTATTAAACAAATTAATTCCAAGTGCCATCTTTACACAGGAAGACAGCATAATTCCAAGCCAATATCATAGCAATCTGTTTTGTGTTAATAGATTTAATATTTTGTTTAAATCTGCTATATCTGAATGATGGTTTAATACATTTTCCTTTAGCTTCCCAACTTAAAAAAAAATGCAATACTGTTATAGCTCACAGTAGAATAACGTTAATACTGTGTAAAAAAGGTAAAACCTGTTTTCATGCGGTAATTGAACTCATTTTAACGCATCGTCTGATGTGTCTTGCAAATTTAGTGCTGAGATTTCGTTTTGCACGTTAATTCCTTTAGCCATTAATGTAGAAAGTGAGTTTGTTTGGTTAATAAATACAAAACCTCATTTCCGTGCGAACGGCCCTGATCATTACAAAAGTACCTCGACAGGTCATGCCTCAGTAATGCTAAATTAAATAACAAGATTGGATGATTGTGGGATGAGCTGATATGTTGATAATTGGCTCAGATATTTTGTTCATATGCATGGTTTGCCATGCGGATTGTTAATATAATTTATATGTGTCTAAACACTATGTTTTATTGTGTTTTTGTGTTTGCAAACAGGCCAAGTTTTACTGGGAACTTTGGTTTTCTACTAAGCACCACTGGCTATAGCGTTCGAGTTAATTGCTATTGATTGCAGGCAGTGTGAAGGTCATCTATGCCAGAGAGCCAAAGTGGACCCCACAGCCATGGCCCTTAAATCACCTGAGAGTGCACTGAATGCTAGGGCTATGGTCCCTTAACAACACTCAAATATAATCACAACTGAGTTTACTCACATTCTGTGGATTTTTTTTCTATCTTTGTCAATACTATATTTCTCCCAGGCTTGACCGTAGTGAAGCCCATGTGGCACGGAGGCCTGGGTGATTACTATAAAACTTTATAACACAAACTGCAGGTTCACTCGGTAGTGCTCTGCAGTTCTGTTTTACTTTCCTGTTTTAGCTCAAACTGTTTTACCGCCGAAGGCTTTTAGCATATATTGATTTGATACTGTAGTGTCTCTGATTAAGCCACAAAGAGCACATTGAGATGACATCCGTGAGGGTTTATCTTGCAATTACTCTTTCCAACCTAATCTGGGTAATTATGTCAGT